GGGGGGGGGGGGGGGGGGGGGGGGGGGGGGGGGGGGGGGGGGGGGGTGAGGGGGTTCCGTGGAGAATTGTTGTGTTGTCACGTGTTTAATGTTGTATGGCAGGTAGGTCTGTGCTGTTTGTAGGAGCGATCCCAGCAGCGCGTATGTAAGTATCTACCTGGGCTTGAGAGGACCTCACAAGACATGCATATCCTGCGCCCGAAACAGCTGGCTGGCACTGGGAGAACAAGGTGTTGGGGGGGGGGGCGTACTCTTCTTATGTTTTGCATGTCTTAGCGGTTAGACCATTGACCACGCGTCCTCGAGAGGACGGAGCTTGGTGTTGGTGGGGGGAGGCGGTATGGATCACGTTCGGCTCACACGGCGATATTCCCCTTTGAGAGAGACGTCACCAACACAAGCGCGGCGGCATCGCGGTGGCGGCATCGCCGCCATCACATCACCGCACGCCACATAATCAACAACAACATGTTTCACACCCTGTCTCCAACAACTCTTGCTGTATGGCCTTCTTTCCTCCTGAATGATCCCGGGTACGTGCGGCGCTCAAACACATGTCCCGACAAAGGTGCAAAAAAAAAAAAACTTATTCACCTGCGTGCAGACGGCCGTGAGCACAGCGTCGGGATAGAGATAACCGAAGTAGCTCTCGAGGATAGCGTTGCTGCGAGCGTCCGCGGGGACGTCGAGCATGATGGTCCGCATGTGCGGCTTCCGCTGCTGTAGGTAGCGCTGCCGTAGCCGGATGTAGGCGCGGAACTCGGCCTTGAGGAACAGCAGGCAGACCACGGTGACCACGTAGATGCCGGTCACGTGCACCCACCTGAAGGATACAGCGTCGACAAAGCAAGATTTGTCGTCGTCGTTGTTGTCTTCGCACACGAAACATCGATCCGGTCTCCGCTCGGTGTACCATCTAATATCCGTGTTGGTCCAACTGGCGCATTGTGTTCATTGTGTAACGCAGGCAGGTGATATTGATGTGCGCAAGAATGTTATCGAGGGAATCGTCAAGGCTGCTTCCAGCTTTGATGGCCAGAAGGCAGAGGGCAGAGTCACTGCAAGTCTCCACGGCTAAGAGAACCCTCGGTGATTTGCAACCGACTCCCGGGTTTTCGACGCAAAAACGACCATCACCCTAGCGTGTAAACGAAAGAATTTTGAGAGAGCACCCGTCTATGGGTCAGCTGGCCGTTTCCGCTAGCCCTCATCTGCCTGTCAAACCCCATCTCCGCCTGTTGTGTTGATCTGCCTGCGTACTCACATGTCCATCTTTCATGCCTGACAAATCTGTGTGTCACCATCAGTAGGCTATGTCTTTACCTAGCATCGGCTCGTCAAAGGTGTCTATCTGTCTTTATGCACAAAGACAAAACTCACAGCCAAGGGCTGTCCACGCCGACGTTGCTCATGGACATCTTGGAGAGCAAGTTGTCCGTTGTCTCGAAGTGGCCCAGGCAGTTAACCGGAAGCACCACCGGGAGGGCGTACAGGGCAATCACGGACAGCATCTTGCCCGCAAGCGAGTACATGCGCACGTAGATCTGGGCGTCGAAACCCGCAAAGCGAATGAACTCCTGTGGGAAAAAAAAAAATGTCGCAAGTTTTTCCGGTTTCGGGCGGGTTGGGGGGCACCGTGGGTGGTGGCGTTTTCGGGTGAGCGTAGGGGGACGGGGGCGGTGGAGGGCCTGGCTGTGTGAAGCTAGCTCGTCGTCACGCACATACTGCCCATCCTGTTATCCTACCTTTGCTGGAGACAAGTCCTTTCAGAGAGGAGCGACTGTGGGGGGGGGGGGGGG